TACTTTCTAAGAACAAAACTTAATGAAACGTGAATTTTCTGCGCTCAAAGCCGCATTGAATGCTGACCTTTAAAAAATGTATGCTTCAAACTGTTGAAAAAGATGAAATTGTCAGCTACAAAATGTTCTAAATTTGTTATGGAAAATTAATTGTCAAATGACTGAAATATTTTTGCATTTGGTGATGTGCCTAAGTAAAAATTTTAGTCATTAACACATTGACTGAAACATCTGTTGAGGCATACAAAGGGAGATAACTCCTGTTGGTATATGTGGTTGAGGGGCCGGCTCAAAAGTTCTATGTCGGATAAAATAAAATAAAACTATATCCTTAAATTTGTGACACAATTATGAATATACTGACTTCCCCAAAGCGATTTTCTTTCTTACATGTATGCCATCTAGTTTCACCTACGTTAGTGAATCTTTTCATTTAAAGTTTACATATGACGATTAGAGCTGCTGTGTACTGACTTTGACTGTATTAACCGTTTAAATGAAAACCATGGCTAGTGGATGAAAGCATGAGCACCGATCCACGTCATCGCGGTATGGGGACTTCCGGAATTCATGCTGAGTTGTATAGTTAGTAAAAGGTACTTACTTATCGTAAGTGGGTTTGGATCTTAAGGGCGTTTTGAACAGTATTTCAGTTATATCATAGCGTGTCAGCTTGATGTGGGAGTATTTCAGTTATGTCACGGCGTGTCAGTTTGATGTGTGAAGAAAGCCCGGAACGCATATCTCAGACGCTTACCACTTTGGTGAAACCCAACAGCACGGGTACGGTGCTGACAGTCCTGGAAATAAAGTCGTGGCGAATCTGACATTCGCATCCACGATCATAGGTTCCTGACACATCCAAGGGACGCAACTCTGCACTCCGAAATTCGTCTGCTTAGGCGCCTGGGCCACCCGTGCCTTCTCTTATGTTGTGGGTTTTGTTGAAAACTCCAAATGAGTGAATAAGTATTACGACATTCCTACTGAGCCATTACAGACGAACTCTGTTCCATGTTAGTTCCGACCGCCTCCTTTGTCTAGTGGTAGAGCGTCCGCCCAGAGAGCGGAGGTCCTGGGTTCGATCCCCGGACGCGTCATACCAAAAGACGTTAAAAGATGGTACTTGTTGTTACCCTGACTGGCGCTCGGCATTAAGGGGCTAAAACAAGGACTGGTCGGCTCGGAGTTAGTATACTGTGTCTGAGTGGGGTATTCATGTTAAATTGTGGCGGTCGGGTAGCCTTGTGGTTAAAGAGTTCGCTCGTCACGCCGAAGACCCGGGTTCGATTCCTGACATGGGTACAATGTGTGAAGCCCATTTCTGGTGTCCCCCGCGTTGATCTACCTGGAATATTGCTAAAAGCGGCGTAAAACCATACTCACTCACTCATGTTAAACCGCGGCATAGTATCTCAGTTAGCTAGCACTATAAATTGGCATCAGTCCGGGCTAGTACAAGCAGCCATAGACACATACACGTGCATGCACGTCGCTATATAAGTGCAATAATCTTGGGTGCGACGTTAAACCCAATTTCACCTCACCTCACCTCACCTCACCTCACCTCACCTCACCTCACCATATTAGTTCCCAGCTTAAACTGGCAGCAAAATAAAGTATGCATTGCAAATTGAATTGGACCTAAAAATAACAAACGTTAGCAAAACGTCACTATGCTGAAAACAGTTTACGAAAAACTGCTAACTTCAGGCCCAAAACACAGCCATGATTCCCTGTATCAAATACATCACCATCGAATAACCATTTCCTGTTTGTTTCTTTTTTGCCACCATCAAACATGGGTGTATATTTTCTTTTTCCGGTAGGGTTAGCTCCAGAGGTTTATACACCATATTGTGTGTAACAGCTGAATTATTATGTTAACTGCCAGGACTCGGTTGTGTCAAAACTTCATTAGCTAATGGAAATATTGAACCGTAATGGTTCATAAATGTATTTCATTAGTTAATGGCGGCATAAACGTCGGTGGTACACAGCTGTCATTGAAATATAAATATACTAGGTCCGTTAGTGTAAGATGCCCGATAACGTGTCCTTAAATTAGGGCATCCCTATAATGTTTACACAGTTCCTTTTTCGTAAACAGTCCCGTGAAGATTCCGGGTTAGAATTGGCCTTCAGCAACCCATGCTTGTAAGAGGCAACTAACGGGATTGTCACTGGAGTGTCTGGTCCAGACTTGATTATTTACAGACCGCCGTCATACAGCTGGAGTGCGGTTTTAAACAACAAACAAACAAAACAAATCTTAAGCAAACAATCATTTTCTCGTTCCTGCCATCTGCCCAGTGACTTGAGTCATAGCAGTACTGTCGACTCGAAGGTTTTGTAAGTCCTAACTGACAATTATTCTACTTCTCACGTTTGTTTCGACGTACTTCATGTGTTTTGGAGGTTGTGTGGTGGTGGTGGTGGTGGCGGTAGTATAAACTTGCTTAGTAATGATACCTGATACTGATCGACATGCGGAATATGACAACCTCGGGCGATGAAGATATGGGTCGGCTGTATCTTGGGGTACGGGTGGCGAAGTCGTCAAGCTGCCGTGTAGAGTTGCTTCCATCAGACCTTCAAGAGGCCTCTCATCATGGGTTCGAATCCCAGACGTGATACGAACCTGCGCGAATTCAGCGCCAAACCCGTGCTCGTGGATTTTGTCAAAGTGCTAAACGTCTTAGACCTGCATCACGACTCTACTCCCAAACGAAATGACAGTGTCACTCTTTTGTAGTGAATGAGGGAGTGAGAATGGTTTAACCCGGCTTTGAGCAATATACCAGTAATATCAAGGAGGGCGACACAAGAAATGGGCTTCACGCCCATGTTGTATTTGAACACGGGTCTTTAGTGTGACGAGCGAACGCTTCAGCCACTAGGCAACCCCAACGCCCCACTCTCTTCTATATCTGAGTTAAATCCTATTCGCTCGCTCATTCTACACAGCATCTATTTCTGTTTGTTTGTTGTTTAACGCCACACTCGGTCGGTCTGTAGATAATCGAATCTGGTCCAGACAATACAGTGACTGACATGAGCATTAATCTTCGCAATTTGGAATACGGTGACACGCATCAACGAAGTCATCGTGCCTGACCACCCGATCCCGTTAGACGCCTCTTACGACCCCTTTAGGTTGCTGAGGGGCGGTCGGGTAGCCTTGTGGTTAAAGCGTTCGCTCGTCACGCCGAAGACCCGGGTTCGATTCCCGACATGGGTACAATGCGTGAAGCCCATTTCTTGTGTCCCCCGCCGTGATATTGCTGGAATAGTGCTAAAAGCGGCGTTAAAGCATACTCACTCACTCTAGGTTGCTGCATGAAGACCAGGATCTTCACTGGGGAGACAGCTTCTATACAGCAGACCTCTATGTAAACCCAGCAACTGCTGCCCACAATAATATGGATGGAACCAGGGATGTCAAACAAGCGACTAGCGTGTCGTGCATGTTACAATTTGTATTGTCAAAGACAGCCTCCGTGGTCTGGTAGATAGAGCGTCTGTCAGGAGAGCGGAAGATCGGTGGTTCGACCCCCGGCAATATTCCAGCTATATGACGGCGGTCTGTAAATATTCGAGTCTGGACCTGACAATCCAGTGATTGATATCATGAGCATCGAAACCACGCAATTAGGACACGATGACATGCATCAACCAAGTCAGCAAGCCTGACCTTCCGATCCCGTTAGTCGCCTCTGACGAGAAGCAAAGTCGCCTATAACGACAAGAACGGGTTGCTGAAGACCTATTCTAACCAGGACCTTCATGGTTCGTTGGCAATTGTTGTTTTGCCTATATGTAGTTACGCCACTGTATAAGAAACAGGTTTTATCTGGAACTATATTGACTGTCGTCTTTGTCCGATCTGACACATCACTTACCTTCTGACGTAATATATATTAATGCGCATATTCCAGTAAAACCTGCAATATTAACGCGTTCGGTTCCCTGACACATTAATGCCATTCTATACTAAAATCAGTGGCTATTGGAATTATGTCGTCGCACTTGTTTTGCATTGAAGCTCAGTCATTCACCACTGTACACACAATATCGATTTTCATAACACATACATGAATATAGATTTTTATCTTATAATGGGTAGGTTTCTCGGCAGGATAAAGCCAACGGATAAAAACGCTATTCGTTTGGGTCATATACGGATAGAGATGCAAATATCAAAGGTCAAGTAGGGACTACTTTCAGTGTTTACAAACAAACATGGCGTCGCTATTGTCATTCGTCGATCGAGTCAGAATTAGCCATCGGTATTCTGGAGAAACTACTGGGATAATTGCTATCGTTATTAAAAGAATAGTTTCATATACTGAAAATCAGTGTCTAACTGTGACGTAGCTAAGATTTTGCAACTTTGGGCGTAACAATTTAGCGAGGACGCTAGCCTAGAATGATCAGTTTCCATATAATGTGCTTGTAGACCTCTTCGGCTTGGAACCTTTTCCCCAAATTAAAACGTCTCAAAGACTAGGGTTGGAATAGTTTCCCTTTGATAAAGGACAGTTACTCGAGCGGACAGAAAAATGGATTGCCGTTTGTTTATTTGTGTGTTGTTTAACGCCGCACTCAGCAATATTCCAGCTATATGACTGCAGTCTGTAAATATACGAATCTGGACCAGACAATCCAGTGATTGACATCCAGTAATTGATTGAGCATCCATCCACGCAATATTGGAATACGATGACATGCATCCCGTTAGGCCTAGTTGCCTCTTACGACAAGCATAATCGCCTTTTACGGCAAGAATGGGTTGCTGAAGACCTATTCTACCCCGGATCTTCATGGTCCGTAGGCAATTGTTGTTTTGCCTATATGTAGTTACGCCACTGTATAAGAAACAGGTTTTAGCTGGAACTATTGACTGTCGTCTTTGTCCGATCTGACACATCACTAACCTTCTGACGTGATATATATTAATGCGCATATTCCAGTAAAACCTGCAATATCAAGGCGTTCGGTTCCGATTTCAATTCAACGCGGTTAAATCTACAGGTAACCTAGCTCTACATTGAAAAGACAGTATGTTTATCTCCTTATTACAAACTACGAGTTTTTTTGCGAATTTATTTATTATTATTATATTATAGATTTTCTATCTACGCTGTGTGCACATAATAATAGTTCATGAATACTAATACGTTATTCATATGCTACGATACAAATCTCTTGTTCAGTAGACAGGTAGACGCCAGGAGATACTTCTCTACTCCCATTTTATATCCAGATATAGATTATGCAGACAGAACAGGTATTACTCCTGATGCACTGAGTTCGGCGGGCATTGAAGCGAGTGACCGCGCTGTAGCATTCGGAAACACCAGTTCGTAACTGGCGGAAATTACCGATGGTAGCCGAACGCCTCTCGCTCGGAGTACACGTGGGTTAGACCCGGCAATGAATGTGATGGGTTCGACAGATACACAGTCGGTTGGAAACCATCAGAAGTGATACAGGACCTCAAGATGCCTCCGATAGGCAGTGGTCAGGAGGGCCAGCTTTTGGATGCGGTGGACGACAATAAACAACCAAACGGACAGTCGTCAACACCAGCAGGAGATCAACCAAACACTGTTGTTGAGTTAAAAAAGAGGATCACGTTGTGGAATGGAGTGGCGATCATTGTCGGATCTATCATAGGCTCGGGTATATTTGTCAGCCCTAAAGGTGTATTGAAACATACAGGATCGGTAAGTTATATTTAAGTTTATGTTTCCTTTGTTTATGAAGAGAACGTTGTGTGATCTGTAGAGTAACCTGTCACATATGTTACAACTGTCAAGAGGACCGGTAGACTCAATATTGTAAACAAGACTTGCCATTGATCACGATGATGCAATACACACGTAATGATCACACGAACATGCTGTATGCCCAAAATGAAGGGACAAACAAACCATATGTGAATGGCAGTGATCACATCTTTAGTTGTGGACAGATTTATGATTAAGAATAAGAAATCGTGCTTTGGCACATTTTTTGTGGACGGGATTTGTTTCCTGAATCTTGGAGGGTTTTTTCCCCAACTCATTTTTGATAGAATTGGGGATCTGCAAAGAGAGGTTCATAGAGAAACTACATCTACCTTCACATTTTTATGTGTATTTCACAATTATTTGTATCATCATTCGTTGTTGTGATTATGATTATTATTATTATTGTTCAATATTAATATTATTATTATTCTAAACATGCAAATTCGAGAGACATAGCTTCACAAACAGAAAGCATTCATTTACTAAAATGTCATAATAATTATATGCATAGTATTAATTTCACATATGAATAAAAATTCCTACCCCATGTAAGCGCTTCATATTGTCTAAAGACATAAATTAGATACAAGTATGTCTTGACTGGAGCATGTGGAGGGACTAAGACAATTATTACGAAAGTTTTTCACATGTAAAAACCTGCTTCAAATTTTGCCTGGGTTAGGACAACCCAATACTAAGTTGACTAACCCTACATAAATGACTTTTTAATACCATATTTCCTCGATTCCAAGACCTTGAATAAGCACAGGGATCTCAATTAAATGCCAGAATTTTTATGCAGAAGAGTTCTCCAAATTAATGTCTTTGTGGTTAAATGGCAGGGCTAAAGAGTGTCTGAATGAACTATATGTCTGGGCTCCGTTCCACAAAGCGATCGCAGAACTCCCATACTTTAACTTAGGCTTAAGATAGTCGTAGCACTAAGATCGCTTTGTGGAACGGGCCACTGGGCATTTATTGGAGGAAGTACAGTACCTCTAGCCAACGGTTATGGGTTTTAGAAAATAAAATATTTGAGGCAAGGTTATATGCGCAGAAGTTTTACCAATTTAGGGAACAAGCTAGTTTAAAAGTCATTAATTATTTGATCTTTATCAGCATCTATATATGTCTATGATTACTTTAAATTATATAATGACAATACCTTCATTTCACTTGAGGCACCCAATAAATACAGAAAAGGTTGGAGTTGATAAAAGATGGAACTTGTTGTTACCTTGCCTGACGCTCTTCATCATGTTCATTAGGTGACAAAACAAGAACTAGCCGTCTCGGAGTCAGTGTACTTTGACTGAGTGGCGTATCCATATTACACTGCAACTTCGTATCTCAGCAGGCTTGCACTATGAAACCGGGAATTAGTTCACAACATCAAACTCCATTTCACACCACATGTAAGGGACTTGTTGTTTATAGGGAGGGTCTTTAGAACACATGTTTAGGGGATAGTTAGGCGAATAAACGTAAGCTTTGTGGGGAGTTATGGTTAAAAAAACCCAGTAATTTCTTGAAGTTTTGTCCAGTAGTCAATGGTAGAACTTGCCGAGTATTCATTGGATTTAGGAATGTGCTTCTATTGCAAATGTGTTTTTGGTCTATCAAAAAATGTGTTTGGTTCCTATTACCATGATTACGTGGAAAAATAAAAGAGGGTAGGTAGGAAAATTATTTTATTTTTTTCAAATATTTTACATGGCACAGAGCTCCAGATAAGCTTTTGTTGTTGTGGTTATTTTACCCATGCATTTTAAAATCATTGGGTATCAGTAATTCTATCTGGGTATTCAAATTTCTGTTACCCGCTAGCTTTTACACATGTGGGTATTTAAGTTAAATATTTAAAAACACTATTCATCTAGTCCCTGCAAACTGGTGTTGTGTGGGTTCGAGGGCTTTATAGCACTCAAAAATACCACGATACTTCCACAAGAAAGTGTGATGGCAAATGATCATGATGTAACTGTCATCGTGGAGTTTGGCAAGGTTGACGGAATGTCCGTTTATAATTTCAAAATAAGTTGCTGATTTGCTAATCGAATACGCAGGGTTACTTCACCATATTTTGATACGCACAAGTTTCATTTTTGTAGTGTATCTGTAATGTTCGTTGCATATTTGATAGGCTTGGATTTTATTTTACTGCATATTTCAGCATTTCTGATGCATATTTTACGCAGATACGCAGCTTATCTGGACCTCTGTGGCATATCTATCACTTCAAGTCTCTTGTTGTTGCATGGGTGACAACAAAAACCTTTTCCACCAACATGTCAGATAAGCAATCAATCTTTATTTAAACAGGGTAAAAAGAATTTAATGAAAGTTGAAAACATATTGTCAGCACTGAACAAAATTATGAAAATTACATCAAGATAGGGTCGGGGGATTGCCTTATTTATTAAATCTGAGTAAAATTAGGAAGGATCGGGGGATAAATGTAGGCAGGCTCGAGTAACTGGAACAAGGCATATTTTTTATATGCCTTACTTAATGGCATTGTCGTGACACTTATCATACTCATGAACCGACATGTGAACTGCACATATGTCCACACAAACAAACGGCATTGAGGCCACATCTAGCATGTATGCAGCTTTGAGAAAGGTTCATTTTCTAGGACATTGACTGACTGATTGTCATTTTAAATGTCCTAAAGAAAAATTTCACTGTTGGTCAGGGATAGCAAAATATGATTCAGGGTTTTACATGACACATATTTGTGAGACCAGTACGCACAAATGTAGAGAATGGAGGCAGAAAAAAATATTCTGAGTACCTTGGGACGTACAATAATATTCTGCGTACCTACAGCGCATCAAGAGCAGTTATGGATGTCTGTTATTTCATCCATCAATCATGGCCACTGTCCACATGATCATTTAGGCTAATTATCTAAACGTTCTGTACACTACACCTTTTCATTACTTTACAGGACCCTCATATTGTCTGCAAGGACCCTTAAAATTAAGTATTGGGGGTACCCCGGACCCCCACATTTGTAAGTCAAGGTAAAACCCTGATGATACTTTCCTAAGGTTGGAGCAGCGTGTTTGTCCGACAGTATACATGGTAAAGACTTGCCAGCATATGTCTGTACTACTCGGTGTTGTGTAAGCAACTTGACAAGATAACTAGATGTGCTATTGCCCTGGATTTTTGTGCAAAGTCATGAAAGGTGATATGTAGAGAATAAATATTTTTACTTTTTTCAACAAATCTTGATATATTTGAGCTTTGTTGCCACAAGGATGAGATTCTGTTTTTCATCAAGTCATTCATCCAACTTGTTCTGTTTGTTTACAGTAATAACCAGTGTCATGAATGTAATTATACTGAACAAAAACAGTTAGGGATCATGAATATTTTTGGGGGTTGTTTTTTAAGTTAAGATTATTTTGTTAAGTAGAGATCAAATACTGTTTCAGTGGCAGAGAGATTAGTGATGTCATTTGATTGTAACATCATGGTAACTGATGTTGTCACAATGGTCTGCACAGCATTGTAATGCAATTTAATTGTGGTGTTATCTCCCCCCAAAATATCTCCTCTGGGAGCCAGTTTTGTGTGATCAACTTTTGACTCAACTTGAATTTTCAAAACACTGTACTAGAACAAGCTGTGCTAAAAAAAAACTAAAATTTGGAACATTGTTTCTTTGTATCTGTCAATAAATACCAAAATAAGAAGCTCAATTTTAGTAGCCCTGACAAATTTATGACATTGGGCCACTGGGTATATTATTGGAAACTGTCCCACCTAAGATTAAATGATGGGAACCAAAAACGGTCAATGATCAGTGATGTCAGACAAGAGGAATAGCACTAGGTAGAATGGAGAATATCTATGTTATTCCCAACAATGTCATCTTGTGTTCCAGGGCAAGGAAATGCCATGCAAACTTGCATCCGTTAGTTGTGCCAGGATTCAAAATTCATGTGTTTGAATCCCAGATTTTCCCTAATCATGATCCTTGGTTTGTTAGAACTTATCCAGTCTTGGGGGTGTTTCAAAAGTGGTAAAACCTCTTGACGCCTGCATCACTTCTGGCATTCCTCCCACATCAAGCTGACAAACAGTGAGGTAATCCAATACTATTAAGTGTAAGCCCCACTCACTCACTCATTCATACAATGTCAAGAGGTTGTATATGTTCTACTGGCAACGAGTACAGATGAAGGTAATTCACTTGCCCTGTTTTCATTCTTGAGTAATGTTCATTGCAAGCACAGACTCTTTCCCACAATGATTCCTCCACATGTTTTATTGGTGCCTCATCTCATTATTATCATCACCAGAGAAGGGGGTCACGGGTGGCCAAGTGATCTAAGGTGCTGAATTTTCTGTGCAGAGTTATGTCCCTTTGACACACCAGAAACCTGTAATCATGAGTTCGAATCCCATTGCATCCGGATTATGTTTTTAGTAGGGCTGGGACGAGTCCAACGTTAGCACCCAGGTGACCTGTGAAGATCCGGTGTAGAATGTAGAATAGGTCTTCAGCAACCCATGCTTGCTGTGAAAGGCGACTATGCTTGTCGTAAAAGGCAACTGATGGGATCGCATGGTCAGGCTCGCTGGCTTGGTTTATTTATGTCATTGGTCCCAATTGATCGATGCTCATGATATTAATCACTGGATTGTCTGGTCCAGACTCGATTATTTACAGACCGCCATCATATAGCTTGAATATTGCGGAATGCGGTGCAGAATGCGTGCATAGTAAGAAAGAAATGCGAACATTAGCATTAGTGACTTGTAGTCTAACCATAGAGTTTTAGATAATTGGTGTTACTAAACAATATATCACGTGACTAACCACGGGTCCGGGTAGTCTTGTGGGTACCTGGGTCCTGGTCAGTACCCACCCGACCCTGGTACCAGAGTTACCTGTCCAAGCCCAAGTTTCTAGGTTT